GGAATCATCAAATATACATGCATGAGGAAGACGCTGAAAAAAATAGCCTTCATGACTCCCGAGGGCATCTTCTGCTACCTTGTCATGGCCTTCGGCCTAAAGAACTCAGGTGCCACCTATACTCGGATGGTGGCCAGGGTATTCCAAGCTGTCCTAGGGCGCACCATGGAGGCGTATGTTGACGACATGATCGTCAAGAGCAAGCAATCAGCAAGCCATGCTGACGACTTGAGGGAGATCTTCGCCATCATGCAGAAGTTTAGCCTTCGGCTGAACCCAAAGAAGTGTACCTTCGGCGTTCACGGGGGCAAATTCTTGGGCTACATGGTTAGCCGAAGGGGTATCGAGGCCAACCCTGAGATGATCCAGGCCATCATCAACATGGAGCCCCCACGCAACGTGAAGGAGGTCCAACGGTTGACGGGCCGCCTGGCAGCCCTCAATCGCTTCTTATCAAAATCGGCGGAGAAGTCCTTACCCTTCTTCCAGATCATGAGGAAAACCGCCGGTTTCCAGTGGACTTCAGAATGTCAGGGGGCATTCGAGGAACTGAAATGGTACTTATCTACACCCCCTGTGCTCTCTAAACCCAAGGTAAGGGAGATCATGTACCTCTACTTGGGTGTTAGCCCGGCTGCCATCAACTCAGTACTCATCCGGGAAGAGGATGGCATCCGGCATGCCATCTTCTATGTTAGCAAGACCCTCAGGGAGGCGGAACTCCGGTACTCCCCTGTGGAAAAGACGGTATTGGCTATCATGTGGACCGTCAAGAAGTTGGGCCACTACTTCCAGGCTCACCCGGTCCAGGTCCTCACTCATCAACCCCTCGGCGCTTTGATGAGGAGCCCCACCAGCTCCTCCCGAATGGTGAAATGGGCTGTCTTCTTAAGCCAATACAACATCGACATCCGTCCTAGGCCCGCCATCAAGGGCCAAGCCCTAGCGAACTTCGTGACGGAATGTACTGCAAGATCAGCCGTGGACGAAGAGCCCTCGGCCCCCTCAGATGATTGGTGGACCCTCCACACCGACGGCTCCTCCGCCGTCAAAGCATGTGGAGGAGGGGTGGTTCTCATCTCACCCGAGGGCTTCCGGGCCTATTACGCAGTCCGTTTCTTCTTCAAAGTCTCTAACAATGAAGCCGGATATGAGGCCCTCCTCTGTGGCCTTTGGCTGGCAGCTAACATGAAGGCCCAACAAATTCACGTCAAGTGCGACTCCAAGTTAGTCGTCGGCCAAATCTCCGGGGAGTACGAAGCCAAGGAAGGGAGAATGAAACAGTACAAGGAGGCGGCCAAGGAGTTGCTTAAGGTATTTGAGGCACACTCTCTTACTCAAATACCGAGGGCTCAAAACTCTGAGGGCGACATTTTATCAAAGCTCTCGGCAGAATCCCCTGAGCATATCTCAAAGATCGCCAAAGTGGAAGAACTCATCCTCTCTAGCATACACGCTAGCCCCATCATGCACATACAACAAAGGCAAGGTGACCGGATCTCAGACATTGTCACCTTCATCACCACAGGGCAACTGCCCGAGGATGAGGCTCGTGCCAAGCTAGCAAAGCTGAGGGCTCCCAGCTACACTGTCGAGGACGGGGGGCTTTACAAAAGGTCCTACAACGGGACGTTACTTCGGTGCCTTCATCAAGATGAGGCCGAAGTGGCGATGGAGGAAGTGCACAGTGGCACTTGTTCGGCTCATCAGGGACCCTTCTCCATGTCCCGAAGGCTAATAATCCAGGGCTACTTCTGGCCCACAATGGCCCGGGATTGTGCAGATCTCGCCCGAAGGTGTCCCGCATGCCAACACTTCTAGAAATCCCCCGGCAGGCCAGCGGTCAACTATGCCCCCATCAGCACATCCATACCCTTCGCTCGATGGGGCATTGACCTCGTGGGCCCTCTGCCGAGGGGTACCTCCAACAACAGGTACATCATTGTCGCCATCGATTACTTCACCAAATGGGTGGAAGGAGCCCCTCGCCAGCATCACTGAGGCCAGGTGCCGTCATTTCGTTCTCAAAAACATCCTCACCAGGTTTGGCGTCCCTCAGCAAATCATCTCCGACAACGGGACTCAGTTCGAGGCAGCCCCCTTCTGTGCCCTCCTAGAGGCATGGGGCATCAAACACACCTTTTCATCCGTTGCCTACCCTCAGGGCAACGGTCAGGTGGAGAACGCCAACAGGACCCTGCTCGAAGGCCTGAAGAAGAAACTAGAGGCCGAGGGGGGTGGCTGGGTAGAAGAGCTCCACAACATCTTATGGGCCTACCGCACCACCCCTCGGCGGGCAACTGGCGAGACACCCTTCTCCCTTTGCTACGGATTTGAAGCTAGTTCCCCCACTGAGGTAACTCTTCCAACCCGAAGGGTCACACAGTATGATCCAGAGGCCAACGACGCCAATATGGCCCTCGACCTCCACCTTATTTCAGAATGCCGAGAGCAAGTCTTCATACGCGCAGAAAACTACCGAAGGCAAGTGAAGAGTTACATTGACGCTAAGGTTCGCTCCAGGGAATTCCAAGTGGGGGACTATGTTCTCCGAAGAAGGGAAGCTAGCCAACCAACCGAGGGCGGAAAGATGGCACCAAAGTTCGAAGGCCCCTACATCGTGGCAGCCATCATCAAACCGGGAACTTACAAGCTAAAACGCCCTAATGGGACTGAAGTCCCTAGGCACTGGAATGTACATCACTTAGTTAAATTTTATCAATAACATCAGAGCGGCCAAGCTCTCATGACTAGTGAATGTATTATTTCACGGCCCAAGGCCTAAAAATTCTGAAGAACAAAGGCATTTTGAAGACACCAAGAACATGGAAAAGGATTCTTACGAAGGGCCAAGCCCCCATATCACCCCCTGGCCCAAGGCCTTACCCTAAGGAAGAACCCTCGGCACCAAGTGCCGAGGGTAGACAATACTATCACCTACAACAAAAAGAAAGTACCAATTGTCCTCAAATGGAGACCCCTCGGCACCTGGTGCCGGGGGGACACACCACTAACAGCTTTCAACAAATGGGAAGAAACACCAAGTGTTTCCATAAAAGACCCCTCGGTACAAAGTACCGAGGGTAGACAACACAATCACCTTCAACAAATGGGAAAAAACACCAAGTGTTTTCACAAAAGACCCCTCGGTACCAAGTACCGGGGGCCGTACATCGGAACAAACACCAAGTGTTGTTTCTAAGTCGTACCCCTCGAGGACGCCTATACTGAAGGCGCCACCTCTCGGTGCCGACAACACGTAGTGCCCCTGGCCATTTGCAACCAGTGTGCAAATGAAAACCCTTCCCTGAAACGCTTTCCGCGTCATCACCTCAAGGGTATCACAGGCACGAGAAATGCCCAGGACCCGACTTTCAAAAACGGAACGCTTTCCGCGTCATCACCCCAAGGGTATGACAGGCACGAGAAATGCCCAGGATTCGACTTCCAAATCGAAACGCTCCCCGTGCCACCACCCCAAGGATGTGGCAGGCCACGGACTATGTCTAGCGCCGAGGGGACGACTTTCAAAACTGAGGCGCTTTCCGTGCCATCCCCCAAGGGGAGGCAGGCTACAGACCACCATATCTTGTACCCAGGAAACGACCCTCGATCCCCTCGGAACTCGGAAGGTTAACACGAGGGGGGAGCTAATGGTGTATTCTGTTACCTCCCGATAGGCCAAGCCTTACCAAGAAACCAAGTTTCTTAAAGCCTTCCCTTCACTACTCAAAAAGGGGGGGGGGGGGGTGAAGGGGAGTAGACTCAGCGAGAAATCAATGAGTACATCACTCCTACAATTCACGGAAACATACCGAGGGCTCCCCATGGGAACGCCTTCGGTACCTGGAAACTCATGAGTACCAAAGATACCATTCACAACAGACATCATCAACAAATGGCTAGGTCCACTCAATGATTGCCTCCGGTTATACCTAAAACCGAAGGCTCAAATACTACAAGACACGACAAGCTCAGCCAACGACAGCTCAAAACGTCCCCGAAGGATACTATATAACAAAGCTATGAGATGGTGGCCAAACCAAATCAAGAATCACCTCCGGCACCTCACTACATGCCGAGGGGATACATCCAGTCAATTCCCGAGGGAGTCTGCCTTTTTGTGCTAGATTTGGATTACAAACTCTCATATATCAACATTGGGGGGACATAACAAACAACCGAAGGCTTTTTGTTGTCACGAGCCAACATTACAAGGCAGAAGAAACTATCCTAAAACTACAACGTATACAACCGAAGGGTCCCCTCCCGAAGGCCAGCAGCAGGAAATACTTAGAGAAAATAATCTAAGTCCTAAATACTTTGGCCCCTGTGGGGCCACCAGCCAACCGAGGGCGCATCTGAGACAAGGTCCTCACATTCACCTGAAGGCTCCTCCTTCATACAAACTACACTTAGAAAAATTTCTAAGTCCCAAAAGTTTTTGACCCTCGGTCAAATCTCCATGCAGCCGGAGGGGCTGCACAGTCAAAGGCTTGATGAAAATACACTTAGAAATATTTTCTAAGTCCTGCATATTTTGACCCTCGGTCAAATCTCCATGCAGCCCGATGGATCATACGGTTGAAGACTTGGTAAAACTACACTTAGAAATATTTTCTAAGTCCTAACTATTTCTGGGCCCTCGGTCATACATCCAGTCAGCGAAGGGTACCCAATTACCGAAGGCTAGACTGTATTCAAACACTTAGAAAAATTCTTCTAAGTCACAGAACCAGAGGGAAGGAACCAGCCGGGGGCCAACAGATGAACAAACACTTAGAAATATTTCTAAGTCCTGAACATTGTGCCCTCGGTGAAATGTTCAGATGACTAAACAGGCCTAGTGGCCGAGGGCTACGAGAGGCATTATACTTGGAAGAATATATTCTAAGTCCTAAACATACATTCAGAAAAACGAAGGCATGCATTCAGAAAGGGTGAGGGCATACATTCAAAGAAAACAGTTAAAGGGAACGAATTATATACAAAAAGCCCGAAGGCACGTACTCATTCATCAAAGAAAGGAAATTCAAATGTACATTACAAATGGGCCGAGGCCGAGGGAATACAATACCCATCACATAAAAAAAGGAGTGTTCAAAAGCTGCTAAGTACAAATATTTCCTTTAGCTGCTGCCTCCTCGGCGGGCTTCGAGGTGACCTCCTCCCCGATGGCAGCCTCGGCATCGCCATCACCGGATCCCCCCATCTCATGGAGTCGTGGATCACAGGCCTCTCTTCACCCGGGGGGAGCGGGTTTCTTACATCTGGCTGCAAAGCAGGAAGGCCATATGCCGAGGGGTCGAACTCCTCGAGGGGGACTTTGAAGTGCCTGGCGAGCCTCCGGTACACCAGATGCTGGGTGAAGAACTCGCCCCCCGGTAATAGTTGTCGCCCCTCTCTGCCATCCAGTCGGCCCCGGGGCCCTTCACCCAGTCATCAACCGAAGACTCTACGACTGAGGCCACCCACTGTCGCCTGTCTTCGGTTTTCCAGCCCTCGGCCATAAACGCGGCAACAACCTCCTCTCGGGCCTTGGCGACAGCCTCGGCAAGCTCCGCCTCCTCGACAGCTTTCTTGGCGGCCCTCTCGGCCTCGAGCCTGGCCTCCTCCACAGCGGCCTTAGCCTTCAGCTCGGCACCCTCGGCAGCCTTCCAGAGATCTTCCTCCAGCAAGGCCATCTGCTTCACAGCGTCGGAGTTCTTCAGGATAAGCTCCTTCATCTCCCGATCCTGCTCCGCTTTCTGAAGGCGCCATTGCTCGAGTCTCTGAGCATGCTCCCCGAGGGCTACACAAGCCTGATAGACAACAGGCGGAGGGGTTAAATTAGTATGGCCAACGCATTGAAGGTTAAAACACGAAGCGAAGGAGGAAACTTACAGCTAACAAAGATAAAAGGATCTTGTTCTCAAGGGCCGCGTCGTCATAGGTCGAGAGGGCGGCCTTATCCATCGCCGAGGTCATCCCCCTCAGGAAGGCCTTCGGCTCTGCTGAGCCGTGTAGCACAGAAGCCCCTGGGGCCAAGGAAAGCTGCAGAATCTCCCGGGGGAGGCTTCCCAAGGGAAGATCGATTTGAGCTGTCGCCGCAGCACCGACCGGGGGATCCGGAGAAGGGCGGTCCTCAATGATCACCAGCGGGGCATCCTGGCCGACAGTGCCCCCTGTACCCCTCTGCTTCTTAGCAGGGGCCTCAACCGCCTTGCTGCCTTTTTTCTTTTTGGTGCCCCCCTCGGCCACCCCGGTAACTCCCTCCGTAGCAGAGGGCTCCAGAGTCTCCTTCTGAAAGAAGGCTTCCACAGGCTGCTGGACCGAGGGATCCTTCTTCTAGGCTTGGGCCTTGCCCTTCTTTTTCTTCAAAGCGAAGAGCTTACTGGCGTCCATGTTCACACCTGCCAACAAGAAAAAAAGGGTTAGACCGAAGGGCAAAAAAAAGAGGAAAAAATCCTAAGTACAAAACAGGAAGCCCTCGGCTACTACCTCCTGCCAACACAGGATATTTCTCGTCTGTCTCGCCGAGGAAGCGATATCTGCGGAAGCCGAGGGCGAAAAGCTCCTTGTCGGCAGTAAAGTCCTTAATGGACACTTGCTTCGTACGACCCTCCGGGATCTTGGTTATTATCATGCCAGCCTTCTCCAGAGCAGCGTTCCTAACCTTCGGATGCCGACGGAAGCGATCCCGGAGTTCCATCAGGAATGGGCTCTCAGCAATCCTGACATAGCACCACCGCTCCTTCCAGCCTTTATTAGACGAGGGCGCTTCCGTGAATAGCTTCCACCAGGCTATCTGCTGCAGATTAGCGAAGCCCTCGGCATTCGCATGACCCCCTCGGCAGAGGTTGAAGCTCTGAAAAAACAAGTCCAGGCTGGGAGTCACCCCTCGGGCCCGACAGAGATTCAGAAAACCCGCCACGTAGGAGTGGCTATTGGGCGTCAACTAGCAGGGGACCAAACCCACATACCGAAGGTATTCCCGAAGGAATGGGTGTAGGGGGGAACCGGAGCCCCATTGATACTAACAGAATGTGCACGGCAATGTAATCCTCGGGAGCCCTCAGGAGCACATCATCAGGACCTGGCGCCACCACCACAACCGAAGGCCCCACGTGCAGCTGAGTCACGTATAGATCTTCCCTGTTAGCCTTCGACCCTATCTCGAGGGCAGCAATATTCAGCCAGGAGTACCCCTCGGGCATATCGATGGGCTTCCCTTGATCAGCAACGACACACTTCTTCTTGGGAGCAGCTTTCTTCTTCTCCTATTTATTCCCGGGGGCCACTCTTATCAGCGTCGGGTTGAGGGGCCGAGAGCTCCCTGCCTCACCAGCACCCCGAGGGGGAGGGACAGCCATTGTCACCCTCATCCTCTCCTTCCCCTCCTCCTCCTCTGCAACTTGTACGGCGAGAACAAGCTCTTCATCCTCCGCCTCTTGCTCGAAGCCCTCGGCTTCAACTTCAGCCACTAACTCCTTCTGCACCTCCATGGCCATCGCGATATCCTCCTTGGCCGAGGGTTGGTCGCTCGAGGACCCTGCATCCGAGAAGCTCTCCTCTTCCATCGAGGGATCCCTCGATATGTCCTGAGAATCACTCTGAGAGGACATCTTTCCACTAGGTCGAGGGCTCGGAAATGCTAAGTATTCTAAGTTCTAACTCCTAGCCTAAGGACACAGGGCACAACTAACTAAGAGGAGAGGAACAGGTGGGAACTAACCTTAAAAAGCCGGGGATTCAACCGAAGGCTGGATTTTCTCTCTCTAGAAATTTGAGCAGAGCTTCGCTACAATGATATCGCACAAGGGAAGTGATGCCCGGCCATGGGGTATTTATAGGCGCCTGGATCCAGGCTTGGGCCTGGAAACCGGGCCTCCGGTTGAACTGCCATCATCACAAACCGTGGTTTCGCCCAATCGGTGACACCCGCCCACGGGCAGCCAACGAACACGCACCACGTGGAAGCCCCCCCCAACGGCTATATTTTGACGTTAGGTATTCCAACGGCTATATTCACAACGGCTATATTCACAACGGCTATATTCTGGGAGCCTCCGGCTATGTTTAACAGCCCACTCCTTCATCAACCAAGGAACTAGCCCCCGAGCTTTTTACTTCACTACACTTCATCAAGAATAGCCCCCGGGTACACTTACCCAGAGACGCTCCCGGTTTGTGCCCCACACACTACATAACAAATGCCTTCGGGCCCACCCCCTTAAAAGCCCACGGCTTCATAACAGTCACACCCCTCGGGGATCCCCCCTCAGTGCTTTGAGGACAGGGTAGCCCCCGGGGAGTACGCCTCATTGACAGATAGCCTACGACACGCAGGTAATGGGAGCCCTCGGATACCCTCCTCACCAACTAATCAGCAAACAGGGGACACCCCGGTAACACTTCAGCTACTACTCACATTCATCACGCCCTCGATCCCCATATTGAGGGACTCCCCTTCGGCACCTCCCAGGATATCAACAGCACGCCTCCGGCTAATCAACACAGGCGCCCTCAGAACAAGGATAGCCATCAGCATCAGCATTGTACTCTATTTCGAACTAGGGCTTCACGTTTTCGATTCATCATTGGGGGAATTCGGTGCACTCTTTTTCCCTCATTAGGATTTTTTCCCACAGGGTTTTTCCTAATGAGATTTTTAACGAGGCATCCCCCCAAAATGAAACGAAAAGCGTCAGCCTTCGGCCCAAAGCAGCAACATGATTACTATACTCCTTCTCACCACTTTGCAAGTGCCTCAAGGAGTGGGGGACTGGAGACCCCCCTCGGGAAAATTCACAAAAATCACAAACATGACCCCTCAAGTCCCGACATGTGGGTAATTGAGGGACTGCCCTCGGCAGAATAAACAAACAGCAAACTACCCACAACACCACAAACTACAACGGAACAACGGCAAAGGACAAACACAATTACTCCTTTTCCCTCAAGTACCTTTCAGCAAAAGGAGTGAGGGACTCCTGATGGAGTATATGGCCCGGGAACCCCCGGTCCACAGACTCCTACTACTCCAATAAAGGCCCAATAGGCCCAGGAAGCACAACAGGCCCAAATCACGGCGCCCAGAGTACCAAGCAGCCCACAATGCGCCCAGAGTACCAGGGGTGCCTTCGGCCCCCTGCCCGAAGGCCCTAATTCTCACAGGAGGGTCGAAACAGGAAAACAAAGTTACTGGGAAAAACGGCGAAAATCAATAGCCCTCGGCAACTAGAGCCCTCGACACTAAGGAGGTCCCCGATACTCAGAGCCCTCGGCTAGTCCTCTACAGCCGAGGGCACCTTTTCTGACATAATATCCGCTCCACATGCGTATGGATCACCGTACCCAGTACGACGTCCCATCCAACAGCCGCATTAAATGCGGCCACATGCGAATGCCAGTGCCAACCAGTTGAGGTGACCTCCCGGCCAATGGACGCTTGACACGTGTCCCTGTCTGGCATTTATTACTACTATAAATAGCACCCCATTTCCCCATTTGTAACCAAGACACAACACGCTGAAAACACTGAATACTTTCTAATATACTCTCTCTATACTCATTTGCTCTGACTTCTCTCTAGTTATTCCCCGTAATAACCCCTCGGATAAGCTATCCCCCGGGTACACTATCCATCACTCACATATGTAGTTGTTTTAGGTACAACAAGATAAGCCGGTTAAGAATTGAGCATAATAATTTTCTCTCACATATGTTAAATTTACTAATGAATGGAAAATTACTATTTAACTAATATTCGTTACTTATAATATTTATTTTAGGGAAAATTGCATATATGATCCATCAGTTATCCACGAAATTAAAATCTCAGGCCTGTATTCCTGAGATTGTAAATGTCACCCTCAATTGTCCAAAATGTTGTAAATGTGGTCCTTTTGAGGGGTGAAATATACAATGTGGGCGAGAGTAAATTTCACCACTTAAAGGACCACATTTACAAAAAATTGGACAATTGAGGGGTGACATTTACAATCTTAGAAATACAGGTCTGAGATTTTAATTCCGTGTATAACTGAGGGACCATACATGCGATTTTCCTTTTATTTTATTCACTTAAAAAAAATTATGTCACTCACTTATTGTACTCACGTTTTAGAACATTATTTAATTCAAAATTAATCTAATCATGAAAATGAATAAGCAAGTAGTGAATTCTAATTAGTGGTGTCAATTAATTTTTCCTAATATACTCTTCGTTGAATATATATTGTATGGGCTTATATTTTATGGTATTAGCTTATTGAACTACTATTATTTTTCGAAATGTAGAATCCTAAAAAGTTGTTATTATTTTAATATTTAATTAAAGCATAAGCAAAAGTATATTTACACCAATTGCTCTTTCCCGTGCGTATGCACGGATAGTATACTAGTTTATTGTTGAAAAGTATATTGGATACAAATAATATGACTGAGCCAGACTTTCTAGACTTGCAACAAAATGCGCGTTTAATGTTTAGACAAAATCATACGAAATCAAAGGTTACATGTTTGGTGAAAAAGTTGGTTGATAAGCCTGATAAGCCGAAACAAATGTTTAAGGGTATGTTTGGCACGACTAGCTGAAAAGATACTTTTGTGAGTTTTTTAATAACTGTCAGCTTTTCGTGACTGAAAAGATTTTAAAAAGAAAAGGTGGTAGATGTTTGGTAAAAAGCTGACTTTTTGATTTAGTTCCGTTTAATATACAAGTTATTATGACAAATTAATACTAAAAGTCACAATCTTTTCTCAGATGCAATTCCCCGTATCATCTCAAAAAAGATCTTTTATTTTTTTGAAAAACTCTTAGCATTTCGGGAGGCAGACACGAATTACTCCGTACTAAAAGTCACAAATTAATACTTGAAAAATTAATACTTTGGATATTTTTTATGCCAAACACGATTAGAAACTTTTAAAAAGTTTTTGAAAGAGGAAGGCAGACACTTATGACAAAAGGGGCCTTAACAAGTTACTCCGTACTACTTATTGGGAGGGAAGCCAGAACATTGAAAACACAAAATGAACGGCTTGAACGCACCTTCATTCAGGAAGCGGCGGATACAGGAAATGCACCCGGGAAACGGCGAGTTGGATAGTGGAGACCCAGAGGAGCGACCAATGCACATTGAAGAGAAAGCCCTGGTTGCTCTCATTGAACATCGCTCCAAGGAAGTTGAACATCTTCGAAATCGATTATCATACTACAAAAGCGAGGTTTTTTTCTTATTAAATTAGCAAAAGTGTATTCTTCTTCTTTTTTTATGTGGTGTAATGTTTGAGAATCTTGATGATGTTTATTCATTCATTGGATATCATAAATGGTGGTTCATTCGATAGCAGTAACTTGTGCAGTTGTGCTACATCGGATATATTCCACTTGAAGGATTGTGACGTTTGATTAAATTATTGAGCATTAGAGGAACATTTGAAGTGAGTACGAGTATGATTTTCACTTTAAAGTATAACCATTTATAATTGCATTCGCCAAAATTTTGCAAGAACTTTTGGACTGGATTAAAGTCAAGATTCTTTTTCCCCATATTTTTATGAGGTTCAGAAACCAGATTGCACGAAAGAGCATTTAAATGGTTTCAAGATATGTAGCGTATATACTAGATTATTATTTGGATTTGGTGTTTCTAGGTTTTTGTTTTCAAAACTAATCGTTTAAGCTTATGGGTTGGTATTTTTTCTTTATTTGATAATGGGTTCCTTAAGGGTATTTTTTAGGTCTTGGATAATGATTGGGAAAGAAAATAAAACAATGTTACTACGTATTTTATTGTGTTTTTGTTTTACCACAGTAACAGCAAAGGAAAATGAATTATTAATAATGATTTTAATTATTTTACATATTTTAGTTTTATTATTACAATATACTACGTATGATAGATGTAGATATGTAAATACAATAATGACATCCAAGCCTTATTCCCAAAGATTTTGGGGTCGGCTAACATGAATCAATCCATTGGTTCGGAGCCAAAAAGCAAAAAAAAAAAAGAAAACAAGAAAAATAAAAAGATAAGGTAAGATAAAAAGGATAATAAAAAGATTAGATACATAGATGAGTTCACACTTTCTAAACTCTAAACAAATGTTTTTTCTTCACACTTTCTTTCCTTCCTACTTTGTGGTATACCTTTCTTTCTATTTTATTTCCCTAGTTTCAAGTTCAAAATGAACCCTAATGCTGAAAATTTCAATTTATGAGAATATGTAATGCTGTGTGGAATTTGGCTATTATCAAGCTAGGTGGGGAAGTGGACGGAACACTTATTAGCATTTCTAACTTTGCCATTTCCTTGGTAAAACAAGACACAATAACTTTCCATTGCATTTTCTTCCCCAGGCATTACCCAAGGTCCAGAAAAATTGGCTCTTTTGTTAGAGCTGAAAATTTTAATGTATGAGCAAAGGAATGCTATGTGGCATTTGGCTATTATCAAGCTAGGTGGGGAAGTGGACGAGATAAAATCTAGCATTTCCAACTTTGTGCAGCCAATAAAAAAACATTGTGCAACTTCGTGCTTTGATTTATCTGTTTGACTGTATTTGATTGAACTTGATGCAATGATGCATGACTAGGATCAAAAGCAAAAGTTTCATTTTCCTCTTTGATGATTTATGCAGCTTGAAGCAGAAGAGAAGAGGTTAGGTGAATCACAACAGAAGTTGGCTCAACTAAGGAGCAAGAACAGTGTTAGGAAATTCCAAACCCATGTAGACGAACCTAGACAGGATCCTGACCTGGTTACCAGTAAGCTATACAGAATATCTCCCAAACCAGCTATTACCTTCTGGAAGAGCGAAACTTCTTATACAAACAAGCCTCAGATCAAACATTGCTCTGAAATTCTTAATATCAAACAAGAAGATGAGCAGGAAGACATGGTGACAGATTCTGTCCCTAAAAGTTTCACCTGTCCTAGATCTTCTGCTGGCGAACCTGGTTTGTGCAATCTTAAAGGAGACCAAAGTCAGAGAACTTTTAATGAAAAGGAAATGGTTGATGCTCGAGATAAGGGAGAAACAGGAACTTCTGGTAATGTTATCATTTTCAGTGTTGATATTTTTGTGCTTGATGATCTTCATTACTCCATCCATCCCAAAAGCCAGTCTCTTTTCAAACACTGTTTTGTCTCAAAAAGTAGTCTAAGTTGATCACAAAGAAAAATAGCATTTCATGTAATTTGCCAAAAAGTCCAAACAAAATTAGTCACGTGCAGAATACACATGATAAATTTAGTTAAACCCAAGAATTTGGAAATACATAATATTGATTTATTATTGCAGTTGTATTATACAAAAATACAAATGTTGTGCATTTGGTAAAGAGCATGAATTTGCTTAAAAGGGCAGCCTTGTGCACGAACGCATACCCGCAAGGCGAGGGTCCGGGGAAAGGTCCTGCCACAAGGGTGTATAGTTGGCAAGCCTTCCCCGGTCAAATTTTTAGAAGAGATCGCTCCCAAGATTTGAACCTCTGATCTCTTAGTCACACAGAAACACCTTAAAATATTTGTGCAAGTTACTAACTTATGATTTTTATTTGTTTGTTAATTATTATATTATCTTGGTGTAGATAAAAAAGTGCAGAAGGATCTAATTTCTATGGTTAATTGCTACTCTTCACCATGCACAATCAAATGCCAGACATGTGCTGTTGCATCCAGTCAACACAAAAGAAAGCTGAGAAGTCTTGTATTGTGTCCATGTAATGAGAAACTTTTTGCCACCAGGTAGTGAGGGCTTGCTTCATAGTCTTACCATTAGTTATGGTTCTCTAAAAAGCATAATATTCATTTTTTTTGGATTTGTTTTGTATTTTGATATAAGCTTCCGGCTTAGCAGGCTGGATAAAACTTATTACTACATTATAATATATACCTATTAAAATTATTTCTTAAAATATACTCGAAGTACTTTATTTAATTATTGTCTAAATAATCGTGTCGTTTTGCTATGGGAACCTTCCAACGGGACTGAGGCAGTATTCTTTATGACTTATGTCCAAGTTTATAGATATCATCTGCGTACTTATTATGTTATGTAAATGTTATGACTTTTTTAAATATTTTTTACTTTGGAAACCAAATATTCATTTAGAAGGCTTGGGGTGAGGTGTAGTAGAAGATTCCCACTTGCCAACATCTGGCGATGGGTTGAGTCCCTAGTCAAGTGTTAAAGTTGCATACGATATGTACTGTCTTGTGCATTGCACCCTACCTTTTAAAAACAATCTTTCATAAAACTTCATTTGTATACTATAAGTTTACTATGGGTAGATGTACTTTAGATCTGTAAATTCAAGTTTTGGGAAGCTCCGCTCCACCAAAACTGGTGATTGTGGGGGCTAGGGAAGTAAGTGTAGGTCTCCTTTTCGTTTTTCGGCACAAGGGTAAAGATTCCACCGGGCCTGCTATTTCCAGCTTTTACATTTTTATGCAGTAGTAATCTTTGTTGTGTTGGACCTGTCCCAATACTTGCTCATAACGTAGAATTTGGAGTTCCTTTATATTACTCGTATTTATTTAGAATACTACATATTTACAAGCACAACTGCAGTGTCCATGCCTGGCTTCTCTCACTTTAACATTTTTATGCAGTAATATTTTCTGTTTTAAATATGTATCAAACTTTTGTTCATAACGTAGAATTTGAAGTTCCTTCATACGGAGTATTATTTAGTTAGATCACTACTTACATACAAGTGTAACTGCAGTGCACTGGATGGAGCAGTCAATTTGTGGAAGCTTCAGGATAGTGGGTATGCCAAACTGAATCACTGGTGAACTTTCGAAGCAAACCAATATAAGTATATCTGAGAAAAATGACAAATAAGCCTCGTACTTAAGAAATATCATATCAGGAACATGAATTTTTTAAAAACATCAAATTATCACATATAATAGTTTTAAGTAATGAGATGACTTGGTATTATTAACTTGTAGGTTTGTTTTAATATTTATTTACATTATAATTATTAATACTACGGGTATATGTTTACTAAAATCTTACAATTTATGTTTTGATTGGATGATTCGATTTTAAAAAACCTCTCCCGATTCGATTAAAAAAATTACAATTTTAACAACCTTAATGCTAATTGGGTGTTTTTAACAAGTTCATATGTTTGATTGGGAGTTTCTAAAAAGTTCATGTGTCTTATTGGGTGTTTCTTAAGTATGAGGGATCAATTGAGTAGTTGGTGATATTATGATGGCCTTATCCCTATTTTATTACTATCTCCGTCCCACTAACATTGAGAACACGCTTATTAAGAAAAGTGAGTTTATGTGGTTGATATTGAATCGATAAAGAATGATTTAGAATCGCACAAAATTTATCAAATTTGATATGTGACAATATTAGTGCGACGGACCAAAAAGGAAAAACATAGAGAATCTTAGCGGGACGGAGGGAGTATTTTGTAACTTTTTTCAGTGAGAGTGGTGTCCTTGATTTATTGTTGTAAAATTATCCACACTCAGTAATTAGCTCTCTCCATATAATGGTATGTTTGGTAATGGTGAATTTGGATAAAATTGACAAAATGTTTCAGGTATTGATGAAGTTGCTGAAATTGCATAATTGTGAAAAATATAAATTTAAACTATTGTTCTATTAATATGAAAGAAAAAAGACATGAGAAATGCTAAAATGATAATCTTTGGCAACTTGTTCAAAAAGTACCTCAAACATTATTTATTTTTATTATTAACCAATTCATCGTGTTCAGTGAAAAAATTAGTTTACTTAAAGTTGTGGCTGATGCTGAAAAAAGTGGCTACCGAGAGGCAACTAAGTAATGAACTGAGTTGCTTGTTTGATGAGAATGCAGATCAAGTGCAGTCCTTCTTAGTACCGCTAATTGCTTGTCACCCAAGAAAAGGAGATGGCCAGAAGATGTTGCCTGGCATCCTGAGGGGAATTCCATTCTATCAGTTTACACTGCTGATGGTGAAGAATCACAGATCTCAATCTTGAATCTTAATGAACCAAAAGAGGTATTATTTTATGATTTTTTTATGGTCATGACATGATATGGATTAATTTTAGTATGGTTAGTAGAATCTTGTATGAGTTACATTGGTTGACGAGAAATAGCTTTGTCTACTTGCATGTACATTTTACATGCACGTTAAACATTCATTTCTTTTTCTGCTGAAAGATGGAAAAAGTACTTGACTCCCTTTTTCATTCTATCGGCTTTGATTATCAAAATGTATACCCCAATTGGGTTGATGATAGGAATATGGCTTAGTAGGCTAATAATAAGAAATAATAATAATAGTAGGGTACATTTAGTAGTATAAATAGAAGGGAAGGGCTGTTAAGTAAATAGCTATTAATTGGTTATATGCTTTTATCCCTGCATGGATACTTTTACTATAAATAGTAGGCCAATAGCTAATTAAGGCAGGCTGTTATTTGATTTGAGTGTTGTCTCGGAGAGTGGGCTTCTCGAACAGTCCCGGTTGCCTTGTTGCCTTTGAGATATTTCTTATCAATAAACATCAACTTCCCTAAATTCCTTATCAGATTTGTGGTGCTAGTTTACTGGTTTTTCACTTGGATTATTACCAGCTCTAACAATGGTATCAGAGCAATTAGCTCCTGGCGATCGGAATTGAAGTGCGACTACGGCAGAGCACTTGTTCGGGTGATCGGAAACTGTGTAGCATCGCCAGAAAATTGTTCCGTTTGAGTTGTGGAAGGTCTGGACGAGAGCCAAAGATGAACGAACAGACTAGAAGACGATCGTGGTTGCCAACAACCTCTCTTAGTTCGCAATCTGTATCGCGATCTATTTCTCACGTTTCATCATCGCAAGTCGTCCCTAACAGTAATCCGCAGAAGTACTCGCAATCGCAGAGATCGACGCTCACATATAATTCCAGTTCACAATCACGAACTTCATCTTCCCGTTCGCAGACTTCGTCTCTAGCTTCGCACCTTTCGCCGTCACCAACAACGTCATCTCCCAATTCATTGCGAACTGTTTCTACTCGCAGATCTTCATCTCCCTTGCAATCAGCTTCTCAACGAGCCAACTCTCCAAATCAACGAACAAAGGATTCTGAGCGTCTAGCTGCGTCGGAAGGTAATTATCATCACTCCAGACTCTCTAGTATGGGTCGCGATAGCAGTAGAAGTGATATTCGTACAGGAATAAAGGTTGAACTACCGTTGTTTAACGGGGATGATGCAGACAGTTGGATTGTGAGGATGGAAGAATATTTCCGTTTCAAAGCTACTGTGGAAAAAAATAAAGTTGAAGTCGCCGAAGAGGCTATGGAGGATGATGCGTTGTACTGGTTTGAAGGGTGGGAATTTCAAACGAGAGGAAAGTGTTGGGAGGGTCTGAAGGAGGCCATTAATCGGCGATTCCAACCACGCAGGCGGAAGTCAGAGAACCAGAAGTCGCGATCGTCAAGGAATGCTCCCAGTTCACAATCCCGAACTGTCTCTCAGCAGATGTCATCGCAAACAGCTTCATCGCGAACAGTGGTTTTCAGTTCTCAGGTGTCGTTGCCAGGGGATTCCTGCAGGGCAAAAACCTCCCCGTTCAGGCAGGAATCATCATCTTCCATTAAATCAGCACCTGTCGAATCAGGAAATAGAATGTTAGAGAATCCACTGTTGATGATGAACAATGAGAGGAGGCCAGCTGAACCTGTTATTAAGGAACCGGATCCGGAGGACAAACACGAGGAGCATCAGCCAAACACCAAGGTTTCTGGAATGCAAAGTATGAGGCTATGTGGAGTTATTGTCAATCATAGCCCAACTGGGGAAGTGGGAAAAGGAGTTAATGTCAGTCAGGTTGAGGAGAATGCCAAAACATTGTCATGTTCAACACTTCTCAGCTATGGGGACCACTCGGAATCAGAAAATGGATCACCGGAAATTCAGCCACCTACTCTGACCCCTGAGTTGAAGCCGGTTGCACCATTAGTTACAGAATCAGATCCAGAAGAGGAGGTTAATCAACCTACAGGATTCTCATCAGACAATAGGGAAGGTTTAGAAGTGCGTAAATCCAATACCCTTACCTATGATGATATGAGGTATGCTAGTGCACTGGACATAAACCCAGGAGAATTTAAAACTTTGATTGATATAGTTCGTGAACTTGGATTGAATGTTTTGAAGAATATCGTGTTCCATCATTCATCAAACACTACTTGGGAAGGACTTGGCAAGTTTGATAGTTTGAGCTATGATCAAGGTTATGATTTTGATCATCGGAAAGTAGTCAACAAAGTTGTTGCTAAAAAGATAATGAATCAGTATACTACCTACTCTCTAATAATGTATCATCCTAGCCCAACCAAGGAGGGGCACGACTCCTTTCTCGAAAATTCTGCAGCAGAAGGCAAGGTACAGACTGTTTACTTGTGTAGGGGAGATATGAAACCTCCTGAGTTTGTTGGTAAGGATGGACTTCCTGTTTATTTTGATTGTGGAAGGAGGATAGAAGGGAACAAGATCAATGCTGAAGCTGACTTTGTAATGTTAGTTGGAGATGTTTTGTGGTGGCCAGCTTCTGGGCAAGGGAAGATACTGCTGAATTATGAGGACGATCTGGGTAAGCAAGTTGCTGCGGTTCTCTATGATGTAGCAGCTGAAATTACTACAAGGGCAGCTGGAATTTATCTTACAGAACCTTTATATGATGATATTGGTTACAAAGAAGAGGCTTCAAGTGTAATCCCAGGGAGTTATTATATCCAGTTTATGCCCATGTTTGCTGCGAAAGATGTAAAGCTGAAAGGTCAAGTAATGAAGGTCAGGGTCAAACAAGCTGGGAGGTATTGGGAAGGAAGAGGTGCCAGGATGAAGTGGAAGTGGAAGATCATGGCTGTTTCCTATCACCCACCTTGAGGACAAGGTGGTTGTTCGGGGGGGGGGGGGGGAGTATTGATAGGAATATGGCTTAGTAGGCTAATAATAAGAAATAATAATAATAGTAGGGTACATTTAGTAGTATAAATAGAAGGGAAGGGCTGTTAAGTAAATAGCTATTAGTTGGTTATATGCTTTTATCCCTGCGTGGATACTTTTACTATAAATAGTAGGCCAATAGCTAATTAAGGCAGGCTGTTATTTGATTTGAGTGTTGTCTCGGAGAGTGGGCTTCTCGAACAGTCCCGGTTGCCTTGTTGCCTTTGAGATATTTCTTATCAATAAACATCAACTTCCCTAAATTCCTTATCAGATTTGTGGTGCTAGTTTACTGGTTTTTCACTTGGATTATTACCAGCTCTATCAGTTGAATTCTGATCTTGATGTCTGCTTATATGCTAATAATATTTTGCATAATGGCATGCCATTAGTTTGAAATACCTGATGTTTTTTTGCAAAGAGTAATAACTGCATAAAGTATACTCCCTCTGTCTCTAAATGTTCTTCCTCGTTTACTTTTTTGTCCGTCTCCAAGAAAATTCCCTCTTTCCATTTTTGCTACTCTATTTCCTACCCGGACCCCAAACTCTTTTGAGACTATGACTTAGATGTTGTTGTTGTATTTCCTACTCTGTGTTCTTTTCTCTCTTTCTACTTGGAGTGTCCCACTTTTTTAAAAATTTGTAGAAAACTCCATGTGGAAGAACCGAAGAACAAATGGAGACAAAGGGAGTACAATCTATTATTGGATCAAATGCATAAATGGTACTTGAACTATTGGTATTGTTGCATTTTGGTACATTAACTCTTAAATGAATCAAAACAGTACCTTAACTATACATAAATGTTTCAATCTGATATTTTATTCAAATTTGTAGTAAAAAAATCACACGTGGCGGCCGAAGTTCTATGCTCAAAGCCTACTTCACCTTATTTTTGTCCATATAATCACTACAAAGTGACTCTACGCATGAAATTTTGATCACCATGAAGGATTTTTTGGCCACAAATTTGAATATAATCTCATTTTGAAGCATTTATGTATAGTTATGGTACTGGTTTGATTCATTTAAGAGTTAAGGTACCAAAACGCAACAATACCAATAGTTAAGGTACCATTTATGCATTTGACCCATCCATTATTACTCTTACTAAAATAACATTTTAGTACAAGTTTTGCCTTGCACATTTTGTACACATGGGTTGGATCACATACATAATTAGTTTGCGCGCCACTCACATTGATTGTGAAAAAATTTCTTGTTTGAGTTATTTGTAAATTGTACATTTCCATCATTTTTCGGATACAGTCTCTCTGTGCTTTATAGGGGTAATGCTGCGTACATCCGACCCCTCTACCCTACCGTAGGTGGGAGCCTTTGCGGCATTGGGGTAATGATGATGAATCATTTCCATCATTTCCAATGGAGTCAAAGACTCACAGTTTTTTGGCTTGAGAATATGATGGAATAAAGCAAAATGGCTCATCATCAATTTTATGAAGCAACAGCCAATCCATGCAATTTTTGTCGCGATTTTCATCATGCATCATCTGGAAACAAGCTCTCTGTACTTTTGTACATGGGTAAGGCTGTGTACTTCCGACCTTCCCTAGTTGTTGTCTAACTTAACAGACAAAAGTAGTCTAAGTGAATGATTTTGAAAATGTGCACAACTTTGTGTGCACTAAGCATTCAACAACATTGAAGCCTTAATTCAAAAAGAATTTCAGGCAGGCTAGCATGAATCGAAAAATGATATCGGGGTTAAAAACAATGAAAAGAGAAAAGGTAGCCAAACCCAATTACAACTTCCTTTGTGCGTAGTGACCATATCTGTCTGAACTATGGTGACTCTGACATGACCATGTACTTATATTATTGTCGTATTAATTTTATTTTATTATTTTTTTAGGAAAAACCTCTTATCATCACCATCATAGTAGTTGTCATCATCATTGTCATTATTGGATATGTACCTGATATCTCTATGCTTGAATAAGTAGTTTTCTTTTATAGTTGTTGAATCATATGCGAATCGGACCACCTGTTGAATTGTAATCCTAATATATACTATGGCTTCAACCACTAATGCCTAACAGAGTTCAAAAGTAAGATTCTTGGAAGAAAATCCACACGTTAAAGGCATCATCAACAGCATAATGTTCATGCCCTGGGAAGTCAACTCTTTTGCTACCGGAGGCAGTGATCACGCCGTTATCTTTTGGTCAGAGAAGGAGCGGGAGAATTCATTTAAACCTAACGTGTTACACAAAAATGTCCATTCCTCTGCTGTGATGGGGGTATCTGGGCTGCAACAAAAGAATATTGTCATGTCCGCTGGTGCTGACAAAAGGATCGTTGGGTTTGATCTTATAGCAGAGAGGGTGGAATATAAGCATCAATTGGAAAGCAAATGCATGAGTGTTCTACCTAATCCGTATGACCTTAATCTTTTCATGGTTCAGACAGGGTAATCATGTCATACCAGCATATCCTCATTGCCTTTAATGCGTGTTTAGCAAGTTTTCAATCTTTGCTCCCACCTGTCCAGAACTATTAGGTCGTTCCAGTTTTGGTTTTCAATTTTTGTTAATTTGCTCTTTCCTGGTAACTAATCCTGCCAAAACCAACAAATATTCTATAGGAATTGGCCGGCTAGTGAATAGTAGTGATCGGAAAGACCAACAGTAGCAAGACTATAATTGTGCATCACAAAGTGGAAAAAATTGAAGTTGAGGACCAAAATTGGGAACAACCTAACAGTCGTGGGACTAAAGTGAAAACCTTTCCTTTTGTCTCCTTATTTGAGTTTTACGTTTTTATTGCCACTACGAAAATGAGTTCTTATAAATGCTTGTGTCATTCTTTTCATCTCTGTGGTATTTTCTCATTCAAATAAATATATGACAGATGACATGAATGACGCATAAGCATGTAGTGAACTCTATTTTCACATGGAGTATATATGTGCAATCCGTTCAGCCAAATAGGCACTGCATTTAATTGTCTAGCTCAGACACCATAGTATTAGTCCCTGTTTGTTAAGGATTTTATTTTTCCGTTGATTTGACTGAATCTACAGAATTTTCTCAAAAAAAGTTTGGTAGCATCTATTTGAGTCAAATTAGGGAAAATATAGTTAGGCTCTGTCTGATGGCAGAATTGGCTTAATCTACTTATCAACAATTCAACATAATAATCAGAACATGAATAAAATAAGTAGGTTTTGATTTATTTGGGCTGAAATGGATTTTACCAAATGTGTTCAGCTATTTAAGCCCAATAGATTCTTGCCAAACCCAAACAGCCTGTGCCAATTTTGTGTTTTTCATTTCAGGACTTTAGAGAAGCAGCTAAGGTTGTTTGATATAAGAGCGAGGCAAACAGAGGTCCATTCACTCGGTTGGAAGCAAGAAAGCAGTGAAACTCAATCTGCTCTTATACAGCAGTCCTGGTCTCCCAATGGCTTGTACATTTCATCCGGATCAATGGACCCTGTCATCCACATATTTGATATAAGGTACAAGTCACACAAACCTTCCCAGTCCATAAACGCACACCAGAAACGTGTCTTCAAGGCCGTTTGGCACCCCACATTGCCTCTACTGATATCCATCTCCTCTGATCTCAACATTGGATTACATAGAACTGATTGAGTTGTAGAAAAAATTGCATTGTTCCAATGTGGAACTGTTCTGTTTTTGTGATTTTTGACCCAAGAAAATGAATTTAAATGTAAATTGAAAGGTTATGCTGTGTAACAATTGAGGGTGCCCATAATTGGAATTCTGGGAACGTCAACTACTACTATCTCAACTCCTGTCAGAGAGCCAGCGGAAGGGGGGTGGGGGTGGGGCTTAGAGATGAAGGATATTAGTTAGTGTTCTACTAAGCAGTAGGTTGGATGTAGATTAGGGGCAGCTTTGTAAAAGCGCAATTAGTCAAAAAGATGCTGACTTGCATCGGAATTGGGGATCTTAACGTTTTTTTTCCGGATACACCTGATGCTGAATGCTTGGTTTGGCAATAGAATCCATCATTTTACGATTTCTGTAGAAAGAAATAAAGATTACGGCAACACTTTTATGTAAAAGTGAAAGACTCAGTTTATAAATAAAGTGACAAAAGGAAAATGTGAAATAGTGCGATTTGGAAGTATAATGTAGTGTCTGGAAGGATTGAGATCCCTATATTTTTTTGTATTTGTTTTTGTGAAATTAATAGGAAAAAGTGTCTAGCCCTCCCGAAAATCTCAATTAAAATCCCCAACTAAATTATCATCCAATTAAACCCACAAACGCACACAAAAATGTCAAATATGCTTTTCAGTCTGTAAGCTCCAAATTCTTCTTTTCTTTCTTTCCTTTACCTTATCTTTCCTTGTTTTTTCTTCCCGGCCACCTCCCCCTATATCTCCCCTTTCATCGTCGCACGCAGACCATCTCCAATTCCCCATTTTTTTTCTTCTAACCCAAACTTTTTCTCCCTCCTATATGTCTGCTTCTCTTCTACCGATCCCTCTTCTTTTCTTTTTTCTTCTTCCCGGCCACCCCATTTTCTACGAACATTTTCTTTCTTCTTCTTCCATGTGTGGAACTCCGACGAGAAGCGCGGCTATGGTGGTGGAGCTTATCAGCTCCTGATGCTACGTCGTTGGAGCCGGTCTTTGTCGGTGGCGGCGAGAATTAGCTCGAGAAGGTGACCAAGGGTGACAGCAATTGACGACCTCGAACCGGGCAGAAGAAAGAAGAAGAAATCGATGGTGGATTCCGGATGACCAATCTGCTCAAACTGGGCGGAAGAAAGAAGGGGGTGTAGACGTCGGAGATGGCGGGGCTGAAAGAAGTAGAGGGAGAACGGGGCAGAAGAAGAAAGTGACAAGAGGAGACGAGCTCGATTTTCCGGCGCGCACCTCCGGCGAAAGGAACAACTAACAAGGATGACAAGGAAGAAACCGAGGATAAAGAAAGAAGCAAAGGGAGAGAAGAGAAAGAAAGAAGAAAGTACGTAACCGGAGAAGTGTCTGGCAAAGAACAAAGTTGCAGGAGGAAAGAAGGAAAAAAAAAAGAAAAAACTTAAAAATATACACTTGGACTGCCGTGTCACTTATGTAACCGGATGACCGAACCTTTACCTACTGAATTAGAAATGTGATTGTTTTTGCAAAGTTGATGGAGTGGGATTTTAATTGTCATTTTCGTAATGGTAGGAGGACTTATTTGACACTTTTCCCAAATTAATAATTAAATTGTGGCAAAAAAACATCCATACTGCAAATTGGATAAGGTGCATTACAAAAGACATTTAATTAAACTGTTATTATACAAGCTGAAAAGTAACATCAGATAAGGCTAAGGGTAGTGAACTATTGATAAACTAAATAACGATCACCCAAGTGACCCAACATCGTCTTAGCTGTGTGCCATTTAATCATTTTTGTCTAAAATATTTAATCATTAATTCATAAACATCCACCCGTTTTATATCCAAATGGGACAATTTAGAGTAACTAAAAGCTAAATTGCTAAAATATGAGTAAAGTTTAAAAATTCCCTAAATAGAATATAGGAGTTATTACATGTAGTTGGACAAAAATACTCTAGGAGCTTGGCCACCTCTACTGCCTTTGCTAGATTGCAGACAACCGCTGTCAGCCACCTCCTACATTGTAGATCTGGCTGCCGTCATTGTAGATTGCCGTCGGAGCTCCGCTGTTGCCAGATTGCACCGTCACCAATGGACTTACATGGGTTATACAAGGGAAGTAGAGACAATTATTTAAATTAAGAAGAGCAGAGTTACAAGGTTCGATTCTTTCAGGCTTTAGTTTCGGCTTACATTCTCCCAGATATCTGTTCGATCGATTTTGGGGCTCCTCAAGGATGTTGTGTCATTTTTTTTTATTAAGAAGGGCAAATTTAGAATAAAGACCTATTTAGAGAATTTAAGCAATAACTTACTCCTAATTAAGACAAGAGTGTTTGTATTTTCTAATTCTCATCACGTGTACTCAGGGGCGGATCTGCTAGGGGGGCCAGGAGGGCCGGTGCCCCTGCTTCGGGCTCCGAGCTAGGGTATAGGTAGGGGGTTGGGGGCTGCCAGACTAGTCGGTTGCAATTTTCCGGCGAGATGTTGACATCTTGGAGAGCTCTATTTGCCGGCTGGAGAACAGGGAAGAAGCGAGCATATGAATTTTTTTAGACCTTTTCAATTTTAAAAGACACGACGTCGTTTTTGAAGGAGGCTGTGAAAAAAAGTAAAGGCTTATCGGGCCAAGGAAGGCCCAATGACCAGCAGCCTGCAACCCAAACTAATAGCCAATCAGGTAATCCAAAGCAGTTACTTCCAGCAGTTACTGTAGTCAATGATTATAAACAATGTTAATTCCAATAGTTACGACCTTCACTCTTCCGCCCAGCGCCTTGCGCAAGCAGCCAAGCAGCAACCACCAAAGCACCGAATGTAGCACCGCAGCAGTGAGCCACCAGTCACGTCGGACGCAGCCACACTGGACCGTCATCTGCCAACTTGCTGACCGCCGTTCTTCCGTCGCCCGCCCCTGTGACCGGTAGGTTCTCAGTTTTCCTATTTCCCCGTTTTTATTTAAATTAAAATTTTGGTAATTCATTTTACATTTTTTTAAAATTCATAATTATGGTTAGAAAATTATGTAGTGTGAAATAGTTTGAATTGAATCTAATGAATAATGATTATGCATTAATGCATTATTTGTATTAAATTAAGAATTTATAACTGTTTGAATTAATTATTGGTGTTTTCGACATTCATTATTGATTGTGCCCCCGCTTAAATTCTTTTCTGGTTCCGCCACTGCGTGTACTAATTCCATCGGTCCCACTCAAGTTTGCCATTATTTCTTATTTAAATATCCTATAAAACTGTCATTTTATATATGTGATAATTAAACATTCAAAATATACATGAATTAAAGTGCTACGTTCGAACGACAAAAGGCATATGTTTATTAAACTTGAAGTATAATTAAATGCGTTCTACAAAATTACATAAGTTCTTGGGGATTTTGAAAAGTTTCATTATACACGACACCATAGTTTTCTTGCTAATGTATGTTTTTGTTTAAAATAAAATCAAAATCTGAAGCCCCTTCCCATAGGTTACCAGTGATACAACAACATAAAGTTATCCATGATTAAGGGGAGGTTTGCCATTGCTTCAACTTTATAAAAGTGATTGCTAAAGTAATTTTAAACAAAGTGTTTAGTAAAAATTGATAGTGTTTTAGAATAGAATTGCTTTTGATAGAAAATTTAAAGTTGGCATATTGCAGTCGCTACCTCCTACAAGGTAGCCGCTGCATGAAAGGCCGATCCTGATTGTTGTGAATCTGCCTGAAGGCTGGCTTGCCGATTTTGAGCAGCTAAATGCTCCCGTCGGCCGAGTGTCTAGTGCGGCGAAAAACTGGTGGTGGAGGCCCGTCGCCAATCGCCGGTGTGTGTGTGTATTTATACGGGGAATAAGAAGAGATAAGGTTACTTTGGACTTTTGCTGATAAAATTTGTCCTAAAACCTTAAAGTTTTTGTTATTTACCTTACATACCTAGAACAAGATAGAAGCATCAACCTACCAACTTCCAGATTAGTTTTAAAGTGATTAATTTAAGAACAAACCATTTTTTTTATCGTCAAAACAAATGACTTAAATTGATATCACAACATTTAGATAGGGGTAAAACGACAAAAGGACCACAAACAAATGACTTAGAGTCAATTACCTTCAAAAAGCAATATGACTCGCTAATCCTATAATGGACGAATGAGCCAACGATGGTTAAAGCAGGTCTTCCATCCCCCAATCCTAATGCAAGAGTCTTACATCAATAAAAGTAATCGACAGAAAAATAAACAGTTTTATCATGAAAAGTAAATAGCAAGCAAACAATAAAATTAAAATGCTGCTTCCAAACCCTAAACTCTCCCGCATTCCATGACGGTGGTTCAGGAGGGGGACGATTCAGCAGTAGTGTAGTCGCTTCCTCGCCTTGCCTCTTGTTCATAATGTTCTCTACCAAGCCTCCTTTGTCACCACCTATCACGAATGACTTTGAATCCAGATCTGTTCCAACCTCCAGACTCACGCTTCGTCCACAACCTTTGGGCGCCAGAGACCAAGCATCTGTCTTCCGTCCCTGCGCAACCTTTGACCGCTGGAGACTAAGCATCCTCTTCCTCCGCTTAATCTCGCCCGAGCAAAAAAAACAAGAAAAATAGCTGCACAATTGATGACGGAAGAAGAAACCCTGTATGTCTAAGCCCGCCTGCGATGGCCGCTCCTCATTACAAACTATAGCGGAGATAAAAAAAGCTAGCGGCGGAAATCTACTTTAGCAGAAACGAGTCTTTGAAAACATTCTTTTTAATTTTTTAAAGAAAAAGCTGGAAAACAATTTTTTAAGTTTTTAAGTAATGTTTGAAAAAAAAAGGTTATGAAACAATTGTTAAAAAATAATACTAGTTGTTATGAAAAAATAAGAAGAAGATTATGGTGAGAAAATATAGTATGAACACTTAGTGATAAAGGTGTATTAGAGATGTTCTAATGATGTCTTTACAATGAAGGAGAATACTCCTATTTATAGGGGAAAATATAATCTTGTCTAGATTAGGGGCTAATTGTGAGCCATACAATTACCATCTAGAAATCATAATTATGATTTCTTATTTATATTAACAATGATGATAATGTGTTCCTAATCATGAATAGTTAGAAGATAACTAATTCAACTTTATTTCAACACTCCCCCTTGAATGATCATCTTCTAATTATTCTGGGGTATTAGTATCATAGTATTATAATGTACTGTCTCATTAAAAACCTTTGTCAGGAAAAACCCAGTGGGATAAAAACCCGACAAAGGGAAAAAGAGTGCAGTGCATTATATTACTCCCCCTCAATTTAACATATATCACGAAGACAACACATTCCAATTTTGTGTACCAGTTCTTCAAATATCTTCGGTGCCAATGACTTTGTGAATAAATCAGCAGGGTTGTCGCAGGACTTGATTTGTTTGACATCAACTGTTCCTTCTTTCTCAAGATCATGTGTGTAGAAAAGTTTTGGTGCTATATGCTTTGTTCTATCTCCTTTGATGTAACCTCCTTTGATCTGAGATATACATGCTGTGTTATCTTCATAAATCACAGTAGGATTACAAGTAAAAGATTTTATACCGCATTCATTTTGTATGTGCTGGATCATTGATCTCAACTAGACACATTCTCGACCTGCTTCATAAAGAGCAATTAATTCTGCATGATTTGATGATGTGACAGTTAATGTTTGCTTCATCGATCTCCATGAGATAGCGGTATCACCATAGGTGAATACATATACTGTTTGTGATTTTGCCTTTTGTGGATCAGACAAGTATCCTGCATCGGCATAGCCAATTAAAGTAGCATTTGCACCATTCTTGAAATACAATCCAAGATCGATTGTACCATTGAGATAGCGGAATATATGTTTCACGCCATTCCAATGTCTTCTTGTCGGAGAAGAACTGTACCTGGCTAATAAATTTACAGAAAAAGCAATATCTGGTCGTGTATTATTAGCCAAATACATTAACGCTCCAATAGCACTCAAATATGGTATTTCGGGACCAAGGTTTCTTCATCATCTTCACAAGGTCGAAAAGGATCATCGTGCACATTGAGAGATCGAACCACCATCGGGGATGTAAGTGGGTGAGCTTTTTCCATGTAAAACCGCTTCAAAAGTTTCTCGGTATAATTTGATTGGTGGATAAAAATACTATTTCTCAAATGTTCAATTTGAATGCCGAGACAAAATTTTGTTCTCCCAAGATCTTTCATTTCAAATTCTTTCATGAAATATTTAGCAGTATTTTCAATTTCATTGGGAGTTCCGATTATATTCAAATCATCAACATATACTGCAATTATGGCGAATCCTGATTCAGATCGCTGAATGAAAACACATGGACCAATAGGATCATTTTTGTATCTTTCTTTGATCAAATATTCACTTAGACGGTTATACCACATGCGTCCAGATTGTTTTAATCCATATAATGACTTTTGCAATTTTATGGAAAATAAATCTCGAGATTTCGAGCTATAAGCATCAGGTATTTTAAAGCCTCCAGGAATTCTCATATATATGTCTGTATCGAGTGAACCATATAAATATGCGGTCACTACATCCATTAGTCGCATTTGCAGCCTTTCAAAAACAGACATGCCAATTAAAAATCGTAAAGTAGTAGCATCAACTACTGGAGAATACGTCTCATCATAATCGATTCCTGGAATTTGAGAAAAACCTTGGGCAACAAGTCGGGCTGTATATCTAACGATTTCATTTTTCTCATTGCGTTTACGCACAAACACCCATTTAAAACCTACAGGTTTTACGCCTTTTGGCGTGTGGACAATTGGTCAAAAAACATTACGCTTTTCTAGCGATTTTAGTTCTACCTGAATCGCTTCATTCCATTTTGGCCAATCGTTTCTACGACGACATTCGTCAATAGATTTAGGCTCATTGTCATCGTGTTCATTCATTATATCTGTGGCGATGGCATATGAAAATATATCATTAACATCAATATCTTTTCTATTCCATTAGAAACGTAATTGATTGAAATTTCGAAATTATCGACGTTTCTATCTTTATGTGGAATATTTACCTCTTCAAAGGTGATTGGATCCTCTTTTGAGTTATCATTATTATTGATGTTATCTTCAAAGCCGATATTTTCAAAATGTTATCCTCTTTGGCATCACAAACTACGTCTTGCTTTTTAAATTTTCTTGGTTTCAAATCTTTTGAACCAAGTGATCTATCACGTTTTTTACGTATCATAGATTCATTAGCAAGAGTTCTTTCGCTAATCTCCGCAGGAATTTCTATTCGAGAAGGAGTATTCATAGCTGGAATATGTGACTTTGTCACTTTCTTTGAGTCTGTGAAAGCATCAAACAATTGGTTTGCAACACTTTGTAAATGAATGATCTTTTGAATTTCTTGTTCACAAGCATTTGTGCGAGAATCAAGAAAAGATAAATCTGTTGCATTCCAAGTAATATCTTTCGTACGTGGGTCCATTTATTTATTATCTCCCCCTAAGGCTGGGAATATTGTTTCATCAAAATGACAGTCATCGAACCGTGCGGTGAATAAGTCACCAGTCATAGGTTCTAGATAATTAATAATGGAGGGAGATTTAAAACCAACATAAATTCTCAGCCTTCTTTGAGGACCCATTTTAGTACGATAAGGTGGAGCAATTGGTACATACACAGAACAACCAAATATTTTTATGTGTGATATATTTGGTTCTTTACCAGATATTAATTACAATGTGGAAAATTTATGATATGCAGTTGGCCTGAGCCAAATTAAATTTGCAGCATGCATTATAGCATATCCCCATGCAGGTGATGGTAATCTGGATTTCATCAATAATGTTCTAGCAATTAATTGTAATCGCTTAATTAAAGATTCAACAAGACCATTTCGTGTATGCACATGTGGAACTGGATGTTCCACATCAATCCCAATTGACATGCAATAGTCATTAAAAGATTGGGATGTAAATTCCCCTGCATTATCAAGTCGGATTTTATTTATTGAATAATCAGGAAATTGTGATCTCAAACGAATAATTTGAGCAAGGAGATTTACAAATGCAAAATTTCTAGTCGATAAAAGACTGACGTGTGACCAACGTGTTGATGCATCAATGAGCACCATAAAGTATCGAAAGGGTCCACACGGAGGGGCAATTGGCCCACAAATATCTTCTTGAATTCTTTCTAAAAATGCAGGAGATTCAACTCCAATTTTGTATAAAGATGGCCTGATAATTAATTTGCCAAGAGAACAGGCAGTGCATGAGAAATCACTTGATTGTGGAATTTTGACATTATTTAATGAATGTCCAAGTGAATTTTGAATAATTTTGTGCATCATAGTGGTGCTTGGATGACCTAAACGGTCATGCCACAAGATAAAGGAATTGTGGTCATTAATTTTTGATACCACATTTATCTCAATTGGACTGATATATGTATAATATAGTCCGGAGGAATATGCTGGCATTTTTTCTGAAATGTATTTATTGTCAGATCTATTTGTCGTTAGACATAAATATTCCTTTTGATTTTCAGATATGGTTTCAATGTGAAAACCATTTAGACGCATATCTTTGAAACTCAAGATTTCTCCGTGATTTACTGGAGTATAAAGCGTCTTTAATTATTAATTTTGTCCCATTTGGGAGAATTACACAGGCTATTTCAGAACCTTCAATGAGTTTAGCAACACCTGAGATTGTATTGACATTAGCATCAACTAATGTCATATGAGAAAAATAATCTCTATGTCTCAAAATGGTGTGCGTTGTGGCACTGTCTATTAAACATTGTTCAAAAGCCATTTGGAGAAATTTCAGTTAACTCCATATCTTTAAAAAGATAAAAATGAACAAATATTAGTTCAATATTGCAATATAAACAAGAATTTATTCATTAAAATGTACATAACTTTTACAACCAAAACAAGCACACCAAATAAAAATTACAATACAACAAACTTTTATTGTAGAATATATTACATAACAGAATAATTTCATTTTTATCATTATTATTTTTCACCCATGACGATGTCAATGTTCATCTCATTATTATCCATATAGAAATCAGACATATTAAATGTGGGCATTGGTGGAACGTTTTAGTTGACGTAATTAGTTTCCACATTCTTTCCTTTTAGAGATGATTTATATAAGTCAACCAAATGTGTAGGTGTGCGACACTTATTTGCCCAATGTCCCGACGTGCCACATTTAAAACAAGTGACTTTGGCCTTTTCTGAAGATTTCGTCGGCCCTCTTGTTTGATGGAGGTTTTGCTTTCCCTTGCCTTTGTAAAATGAGCTACTACTCTGTTTTGTTTCCCCGACTAGGTCCATTATAACGACCAATATCACGGCCACGTTTGAAATGTCCACGAGCACCACTATGGGTTGCATTTGATTCATGTTTCGAACCATGATTTTGTGGACCAAAACTAAAAGGGCTACAACCTGTGGGTCTCATATTGTGGTTTCTCATCAAAATGTCATTATTCGTCTCAGCAAGTAGTAATACTGATATTAAATCAGAATACTTTTGAAAGTGCTTTTGTCTATATTGCTCTTGTAAAATCATATTTGAAAGATGCATAGTGGACAGAGTTTTTTCCAACATTTCAGCATCAGTGACTTTTTGTCCGCATAACTTCAGTTTTGATGTTATTTGGAACAAGGCAGAATTGTAGTCACTTATAGATTTGTAATCATAGAATCGTAAATTGATCCAGTCATATTGAGCTTTTGGTAAAAGGACCTTTTGTTGATGGTCATACCTTTCTTGGAGATTATCCCATAATTCTTTAGGGTCATCTACCAATAAATACTCAGACTTCAAACTTTCGTGAAGATGGTGACGAAGAAAGATAATGGCTTTTGCCTTATTTTGGGGAGTAGCTGAATTATTTTCAGCAATTGTGTTTTCGAGGGCATTTGCTTTTAAATGTGCCAAAGCGTCGACTTTCCATTCCAAATACTTTTGACCAGATAAATCAAGGACGTCGAACTCTCTTTTGCTAATATTAGCCATGGATGAACTACATCATAATTAATTTAAAATTAATTAGTTAATGGTTTGTATATATAATACGATTAGATACACATAATATGTTTATATAATAAACACTATATTAATAACTACTACGTACGATAATAATAATTATATGTATCACGTTTACACATGTATAAATAACTGTAATAGTCCGTGACTTAACTTATATACTTAGATAAGTCCATGCCTAATACGAACAAAAGAACGAACAAACTGTCGTGAGGCACTAGAGGCATACATTAACTAATGATTATGTATATTCATAATATAAAAAAATTGTATATAAAATTTAGTTTACTACTCCGTATTAGTTATCAATAGTATGAAATCTTAGTTAATGTTTTCACACAAATTAGATAGATGCCTCATGTCACGGAATCAATTATAATTAGACAGAAGAAATATCTTCTGATATACGTAGTACATAGTATCATTATTAGAGCTCAATAATAATATGATAGTCTTGACAAAGATAATAATAGCTTTTATTTTATTATTATTATTATTATTATTATTTTGTAAGTACATATGAAGTACTATATGTTATTCTGCATCCGTATTATTTTTACTCATTATTGAGATGAAAAATCCATACGTAGTATTATTTGTGTAGTCCATGTTTTTTTAAACAATCAACGTGAACATAAAGGGGTGCATGATTTTATTACTCCGTATTAACTACATGTGTAGTACTATATGTATCACATTTATGAAGGTAGGCCTCTAAATTATTTTCTTGCTGCATTTTAATTCAAAGCCAACTAATAATGTCTGCAACTTGAGCCCACATTAGACAATTCAAAAAAATGGCAGAAAAAATCACATGTCATACATACAACTGTAGTTCACATTTATAGACCTATTTGTAAAGAAGTGTGAAGTAGTTCATATACATACTCTACCCAATATTTGTTTATCAATCTCCTTTTCTCACTTTGAGCATGTATGAAGCATAGAGGAAGATTTACGGCCATAGTTTTATCGAACCTCCATGAAAAAGAAAAAATTGCCGACATGTTTATTGTCAAGCACAAGTGATGATTTTTTTTAAAGAAGAGTAGATTTTATTTCAAGAACATATTACAGAGTACTGTAAAGGCTAAAGGTAAGTCTTTCTTCTATCTTCTTCAATTTCTTTTATACAAGATATATCTATAATTTTCTGATATGGAGGATCCCAACGGTTGGACAACCATAGAGCATACTTCTTATAGTTTTGAATATATCTATACATGTTTATATTTCTCATTCTCTGATTTTTTTTTCCAGATAAGTTGATAAATTCGTAGAAATATATGCCTGGTGGGAAGATGATGATATCAGGGATTTGGAGCAAATTCGTGCTGATAACGTGTTATAAAATGGAAGGAAATAAGCAGAAGATCAGGGAGAGAAAATATAGTATGAACACTTAGTGATAGAGGTGTATTAGAGATGTTCTAATGGTATCTTTACAATGAAGGAGAATACTCCTATTTATAGGGGAAAATATAATCTTGTCAAGATTAGGGGCTAATTGTGAGCCATACAATTCCCATCTAGAAATCATAATTATGATTTCTTATTTATATTAACAATGATGATAATGTGTTCCTAATCATGAATAGTTAGAAGATGACTAATTCAACTTTATTTCAACACTAGTAGTATTTTATAAAAAATGTTTTTTTTTTATTAATAGAAACAATTTAAAACACTCATCCACTTGATTTCAACTTTTAACTATTTAATATAAGCATAAATTATCGAAAAATGCTAGAAGTACAAACACACTTACAAAAAAAACTTACAAACAAGTGATGTGGCTATTCTAATTACCATTGATGTAAAAGTGTTGTAAATGTGATGTATTAAATAATGTGATGATAACACATACCCCTTTTGTAAGACTTTGTAAAAGTTTTTGTACCTCTAGCATAACTCTAAATTATCACTTGAAATTACCAATTTCAAGTTTTCAACTCATTAAACCAAAAGATGAAAACATTTTTTAAAGTGTTTGCAAGCACTCCCGATATTATGATTATCTTCTATGAGTATCTCCAATGATTCCTTTTGAAGACTTGCTTGTAATTTTAAAGCTAATAGCTTATCATTGGAACATTGCTTTTCCTTTTGCTTGAGAAAGCTAATTAGTCAAAAATCAAAATGAGTTAATAGTTTGAGCAAAGAGAATTACTAAATATTACACTATTAATAATAAATGATGAGGAAGATGTTATAGCTAATTACTAGAATACATTTTAATTTTGCTTCAAATGCTTATATGACGGTAATTAGCTAACCGTTGAAGATGCTCCAACTCCTTAACCATTTAAGACATTTAAGCAACTTTAATCTTTAAATGTTTTTTCTCCCATAGCGAGTATTTTTGTAAAATTATTAAAGGAAAGAATCACTGGTAAATAAATCTTCATTAATGCATTAAATAGCGAATCCATTCAAGATTGTTATAGAAAATCCAATTTGATGATATTAATAATTATACATCCCAATTAAATCTATAAAGACCCCACCCACGATAAATCGTGATGATTAACTAATGAAATTATGACTGTTCACTGTTTTATATAAGAGAGTGTAGGGGTGGACTCGGGCCGGGCCAATCGGCCCGGAACCGGACCGGCCCGCTACTGTGCAGGCCCGGCCGGGCCCGGTGAATCGGTTCCGGGCCCGGTTTGGGCCAACCGGCCCGGTAGGATGGCGGTTCAGGCTCGGGCCCTTCTAAAGGTGAACCGGCCCGGGCCATTTTTTTTTTTTTTTTTTTTTTGAGTTTTTTTTAAGTTTTTGGGTTGGGCTGAGTATTTTGGACCATTTGAGGTGGTTAGGGTTGGTTTGGGGGAATTGGGGGTGAGGGAGGAGAGTTGGGGGTTAACTAGGAAAAGCCAAAAAAAAAATAGAACCGAGGCCCGGCCCGGACCCGGGGTTACCCGGGCCAGTTCCGGGCCTCCCCTTCTTGAACCGAGGCCTGGCCGGTCCCGAACCGGAACCGGTCCATGCCTAAGAGAGTGTGCAATGTATAAAGATATCAATATCAATCACCTATATTTTTTTTAATCTAATTTTTTTTTCATCCACGAATTATATGACAAAAACTTCTATGAGCATATACACATGACAAACGTTTATATCAATAAACTTCTTGATGTATATATATATATATGACAAACATTTATATCAATACACTTCTCCTTAATGTATAAAATTTATTCTCCTGTGCATTATTATACATTGTGAATGTGAATGCATAAGCCCCAAGTTTTGAATATGAATCCAATAATACTCTTCTCAAAAAATAAAATACCCTTTTATAATTTTCGCTGTAAGCCCCTAAAATCTTCTGCACAGTCCATGGAAAAGGGCACATTTGATCTCGCTTTATATAGGCCTTTCATCAATTACTGTATACAAAAATTAACAATATCTCTCCGCTTGCCCCTCTCCCTCTCTGGGTGTCCATCACAGAGAACTGACTTGGTTGTTATTTCTAAAATGCGCACTTCCGTGGCTAAAAGAAATGCCAAGAAAGATTCTAAATGATCTCATGAAACAAACACACCTCATACCATACACCACATAAGTATCAGCGATAATAATACTCTCTAATTGGCTTCTGGTGGTTTACTTTGGTACACTGATTCTAGACATTCTTTTGCTCTATGGACTTTTGATTGAAGATAGAAGCTCCCGCTCTTTGCATTTTTCTCAAACAAGTTATCATATTTCTGCAGAAAGAGTGATCATCTGGTTTAAGAACACATTGTTTGAATACCATGGCGATAGTTAAACAAGCACATTGGTGTTTGCACCCCATGTTTTATCCAAGCATTTGACTTTGCTTCATCTTGTGTTTTATTTTCTGTGAACACACACCTAACAGCAGCTCTTTCCATTAGACTTTGCACCTCACCATATACCTTAACATTTGATTTTGCATCCCACTTTAGGGTGCTTTCTGATGCAGGTCTAGTGAAAATAAAATATGGGCTGCAGACCACATTATTGGGGCAATACAGAATATTTCATTTTTGTTATGGTATGACTTTTAGCATTTGCTAGCATTCAACAGCAGGTCTTTCCATTAAACTTTACACCTCACCATATACCTTAACATTTGATTTTGCATCCCACTTTAGGGTGCTTTCTGATGCAGGTCCAGTGAAAATAAAATATGGGATGCAAACTACATTATTGGGGCAATACAGAAGATTTCATTTTTGTTATGGTATGACTTTTAGCATTTGATTTTGCATCCCACTTTAGGGTGCTTTCTAATCATTCAACTGTACAGTATATTTCCATCACTATTTTATCCTTCTAATCATTTATTAGCAAAAGAATAAAATAAAAAATTTGAAAATTGACCTGTCAAGTGATTTAAATGACCAAAAAGCTACAAGATATTCATAGTCATGCATTAAAGGTTTGAAAAGTTGAAGTAGGGGTCCAATTGTGATAATGATCTAATAGTTGTGGCATACACAAAAAAAGTTGCCAAGACAAAACACAGGCATAGATGATCAATTCTCACGTGTTAAAACAGAGAAAGAATAGGATATAAACCTGCAAGACCTCTTCCCACGTTGATTTTTCCGTGACACCAAGGATTTGCCTTGCCTCGGTTTCTGCCATGATTTTGCTTCCTCTTCTGATATTTTGGGCCACTTCTTGAGCAGCCCCCGTTTTCGAAGCATCTACATTATGGACACAAGTAAATAAAATACCATGACTCAAATTTTACCCCTCGGTCACAAAAAAAATTGTTTAAATAAAAAATTGACTGAAATTGTTTAAATAAATTTCGAAGCATCTACATTATGGATACTACATATTTTATAAATGGAATTAATTTTTCAAGTAATTTGCCAAGAAAAGTTACAGACAAGTTAAATATGATATATTTAGTTATACAAAATATGTAGGTAGGACACCATTCCTTTTAAAATATGCACATCATCAATTACAAAAGGGAAAAGGGGCAAATAAGCCCTCGAACTAACCGAAAAAGTGCAAATCATCCCTTTTATAGGAGGCTCTGTCCGGCCGTCGCCATTTGAGGCGGTTCCTGGTGGAAGTTTTTGATGATTTTTTTTTGAGAATCTTCTTCAAGACTAGTTTACTCATACAAAATTTCAGCTAAAAATTCAATCGTGAAGACAGTCAAATATGTTAGAAGATAACTGTGCAGTTAAACAGCGCAATATATTTCAGAAAATCATTTGACTGCCTTCCCGTTGGATTTTTACCTGAAATTTGGTATGGGTAAACTATACTTAATGAAAAAGATGCTCAAAAAAAATCATCAAAAAATTCCACCGGTAACCACCCCAAATGGCGACGCCCAGACAGAGCCTCCTATAAAAAGGGTGATGTGCACTTTTTCGGTTAGTTCGAGGACTTATTTGCACCTTTTCCCATTACAAAATTGTACTTTAACCAAACAAGTTTGGAATGCACCAAATTTATTGAAAGGCGAGTGAAAGAGTAAATCCATTCAAGGGCTCAATCGCTCAAGTTGAACCATTGCAAAAACAAATCAAACATGGAACATATAGATCTCAGGCATAGTTGTCATGGCGCACAGCAGCGTTTTTCCATGGTGATGGCAACGGCACATATATGGCGTCGCCACATGACAAAAAAAGAAAAACTAAAAAACGAAGGGAAAAGGGTCAAATAAAGTGCAAATCACCCCTTTTATAGGAGACTTTGTCCGGCCGTCGCCATTTGAGGCGGTTCCCGATGGAATTTTTTGATGAACTTTTTTGAGCATCTTCTTTATTAAGTCTAGTTTAACCATATCAAATTTTAGATAAAAATTCAATCGTGAAGGCATTCAAATAAATGTTTAAAGATAACTGCGCAGTTAATCAACGCAGTATATTTCAAAAAATCATTTGAATGCCTTCACGGTTGAATTTTTAATTGAAATTTGGTATGAGTAAACTAGACTTAATAAAGAAGATGCTCAAAAAAATTCATCAAAAAATTCCACCGGTAACTGCCACAAATGGCGACGGCCAGACAGAGTCTCCTATAAAAGGGGTGATTTGCACTTTTTCGGTTAGTTCGAGGGCTTATTTGGACCTTTTCCCAAAACTGAATTAGACACTATAATTGTATCACCTAACCACCAAAACATGATCAAACAAGTTGAATAACAACATTCTAACCAAAACATGTGAAGTTAAATATCTTATGTAGGATTGAAAGTCGAATTAAGGATCGTAAATCGTAGGATCGTAACTCAGATAGTAATATCCTATGTGTGTGTATATTCCTACAACATATGTGTATGTATATAATTAGAAATTAAATATAATTCATACATAATACCAAATATTTTAGGTACTTAATAACTTAAACAATCTATTATTAATAAAATAGCTTATGTAATTCGTACATAATACCAAATAATACTCCCTCCGTCCCGAAAAGGTTGGACAAATTTCCTTTTTTGGATGTCCCAAAAAGATTTGTCATTTCCATTTAAAGTAAGGAATATGTGGCTAAAATTAATTCTCTCTCCTCTGCACAAATTTCAACCACACTGTTCTTACTTTATTAATCCACGTGAAAGTCAACTTTGGCCAACCTTTTCGGGACAGAGGGAGTATTAAACAAGTAATGTAGCATTCCAAATTCCAAAATCTAATTATTCTCAATTCATATACTCCATACTTCATAAACTGAATATACTTCAATTATAAGTTCAAGTGTTAAATGTTTAACAAAATACCAAGTTCTGTAAAAAAAATACCAAGTAACAAAAGTAACTTAAATAAATAAAACTGGAATGCTTAATCATCGTTTGGATTTTGGAGCAATAAACGAGTCTTTGGGAAACACAGAGTCGCCAACCTGCGCCGCTTGGGAGAAGGAAGTCGCCTACCGTCTGTTGGACTGCTGGAGCATTGTTCGCTGGAGGAAACGGGCGAACTACGACCGGAAACCACCGTACCGAAGTCGCGATGCAGAGAGAGTAGCCATGGCGATGGCACCCAAATGGCAATGGCATCGCCAGATGCATTTTCATTGCCACGACCTATTTTCATGGTGGGGGGGGGGGGGGGGGGGTAAGCGCGCCTCATAGCGCCATCGACAACCATGATCTCAGGTGTAGCATACTAACTTAGGAAAACATAATTCTAGAAAATGTTTTCTGGTTTCCTCTGTCCGGCACGAAGAAATATTTTCATGAAGCAGAGTGTTTACCTTGATCCTATGAACTCCAACGGAAAATGAATTCCTGTTTTTTATATTTTTAGGTCAATGTTAGGTTATGGCTAATTCTACAGCAATTCTGAGCTCACCGAAGGAAAAAATGGCGATGAAGATCAAAAGTAGAAGTTTATTGTTTAATGGAAAGAGAAGAATACAGTTCCCAGGTCGTAACAAAGTTCCGACTCCCAATCCCAAGTCCGAAGCCCAAGATAATTCCAACCTCCTCTCTATTCTACCCTCCACCTCTATTTATACTAATTATTCTAATACGATTATTACTCTCATTTATTATCATTCTATTCTATGTAGGTCCCTATCATTACTCCCCCTTGGACAACCACCTTGTCCTCAAGGTGGGTGATAGGAGACTGTCATGACGAACACCTTCTTCCTCATCTTTGCGCTTCTTCCTTCCCAGTATCTTCCCAATTTGAGGACCATGAACTTCATGAACTGAACCATTGTCATCACTTTTACCATAGCAAGCAGCTGAGGCAAGCGCATGGTTACCAAAATCCTGGTGGCAGAATACTTCCTGTGCTTACTTAGGAACTCTTCAAATAACCCATTGACCCATCGAAGAAACACAACATCACCACCTATTGAGTCTCCATCTTGTGTTGGACTTAATGCTCCAATTGGTTTTGCAAGAACCACGTAAGTAAACGGCTTTATCAAATCCAGATTTTCTGAGGAATAATCAGCCAGAACCCAAGGAGACATAATTAATTCATTATAAGATCTTCCAGTAGGTTTGTTGAGAATCATTATGTACTCACAGTTTATAGCTCTATGAAACCGGCAGTCAAAACCTTCCCAGTATTTCCCTGGTTGTTTATCAATTCTCAGACATTTTTCCTCCTCATTTTCATTGCTTGGACCATCACACTTTGATTTGTTTCTTTCCAGATCACCCTCCTCCCCGAGCTTGGTCAGTGCCATTGAAATTCTTGAGATGCATTGACCACTGTCCACTAGCACATAGCAGTACTCACTCACTTGGTATGCATACTCATCATGCCACCCCCTGATTTAATAGATGTATCATTTCCTTTGCGAAAACAGGACCAAGAGCTCAAGCCATTAGACAAAGCCTTTGGATTCAACCTTAAAACAGCAATGGTAAAAATCTTCACCCAGTCATCATTAGGATGTGTTGTTGACACTTGTAGGTCCTGGTAGATGTTCAACAAATAGCAACTCATGTTTTCAGCACCAATTTCCAACACCCATATGATTGACTGAGCTTCAAAAACAGCCTCTCTCTCAATAGTCAACATTTTTAAAGAACCAAAATTATTCAATCTTTGTGGCTGATGCTGAAGAATGGAAGAATCGAGATAAGAGTTGTCAAATTCCCTGTAAGTACCATTCACAAGTACAAGGGACCCCGCAGCTGGGCTTCTAGCCACAGGATAGGAAATTACCAAAACTGGATTATCTGTCAAGAATAACATCTGAGAGGTCAATTTCAACACTGGAAGTCCTTCCCTTGTAGGCTTGAGGTCAACAGGCAGCATTTCAGTCTTTGTCACCTTCTTTTGTGTGATCATCAAGAATGGGAGATAGAGTTTCTCAAAGCAGGCAAATGCCTCGCCCTTACGAACCCAATAGTCCAAACCTATACCTGCTTTTTGATTAGGTATACAAACTGTTGGCATTCTCTTCACATTTTCACCAATTATCAAAGCTTCTTGGACGATAGCAGGATTGATTCCCTTGTCAAACATCAGAAACCTATCAGCATAACAATCAGTAGTACAACCCACCTTTTCCTTCCAATTTCCAGTAGTTCCTACCCCCAATCTATCTTGAATGATCTAAATAGAAGTAACATCATCAAATCTGAAGCCATCAAACTCAGTCAACCCTTCCAAAATCCCCTTTGATATCTGTCGGTGCACACTTGGAATGCCATAAGTATGGATTCGTAGGTGAGACATGCTCTCCTCATCAGCCCCTGTGATATTGTTGTTCATTCCCAAAGCAGGATCATGGTGGTAGGTACAACCGTACAATTTCCTTCCTGATTGTAAGGAATATAAGGTTTGAGCTGTTCAGATTCTTCCAAAATATCTGATGAGTATCCTGTCTGTTGATTACTATCCTTGTCAGGATCCGATTCCAAAATTGAGTGTTCAACCGACTTCCACTCAATTTTTGTTGTCAATGAAATCCCCAGGGAAGAAAATTGAGCCGACTCAGAAACCTGCGATGCATACTGTGAATTGGTCGAAACAGCTAGCGAAGACGAACTTAGAGAAGTTCTTTTCGATTGCGATGATTCATGGTTTACTGTCTTCCGCCTGCGTGTAGGTTGGAATCTCCGAATCGTCTTTTCCTTCAGAATTCCCAATTCTTTTCTCTCGTTTCAATTTCCCGCCGTTGAAACCAATTGAACGCCCTATCCTCCGTTGCTTCTTTTACGACTCTAACCTTATATTTTTCCGCAGTACCGTTGAGTCTAAAG